CCTCACACCCTCAACACCTCCCACCCTCAGGTCATCATTCTCTGACTCACTCACATGTAGACTCACTCATATCCAGACTCACTCATGCTCAGATACACTCGCTCCTAGATTCTTGGTACTCAGGTTTCTCATGCTCGGGATCACCCATATGCTGATTCACCCACACTCCTGGTACTTCCGCGCTCAGACTCTCTCTCTCTCTCTCTCTCTCTCTCTCTCTCTCTCTCTCTCACACAACACACACGTTGTGAGGATGTCTCAGGCGAGGCGCTGGTTTCAGTACTTCCAAAGGGGGGGCGCCAGGGGGTATCGCACTCCTCCGTTCGCACCAAATTGGCGGGGATGTCACGAGCGGTTTGCCGGTTTTGGTGCCCGACATCTTCCGCATGCGGAGCAGATTTGGATGATTTCTCGAGCGAGGCGCCCATTTTCGCTTCCAAGGGGGGCCGCCACGGGTATTGTATTCTTCCGTTCGCGACAAAATGGCGGGGATGCCTCGATCGACTCGAGCGGTTTGCTTGTTTTGGTGCCCGACATCCTCCGCTTTCGGATCAGATTTAAATGATTTCCCGAGCGAGGCGTTCATTTCCGCCTCCAAGGGGGAGCAGCCAGGGGGTATTGTACAGTATTCCTCCGTTCGCGCCAAAATCGCGGGTTGTGTCGAGCGGTTCGCTTGTTCCCCATATCCTAAGATGGGGTTCTTGTTATTACTTGGACGCCTCCTACTCCTCCCCTTTCCTCCTCCTCTTTTCTCCTCCCCTCCTGTCGGACTTACTCATACTCAGACTTGCTCATACACAGACTTACTCATACTCAGACTTACTCATACTCAGACCTACTCATACTCAGACTTACTCACATTCAGACATACTCATACACACTCTTACTCATACACAGACTTACTCACACCCAGACGTACTCATACACAGACTCACTCATACCCAGACTTACTCATACACAGTAATAGTCATACTCAGACTTACTCATACCCAGACGTACACATACACAGACTTTCTCATCCTCAGACCTACTCATACCCAGACGTACACATACACAGACTTTCTCATACACAGACTTACTCATACTCAGCACCCCTAAAGGGAGCCGCCAGGGGTGGTTGCACGGGCTCGTTCGCGGCCATTTTGTGGGGATGTCTCAGGCGGTTTGCCTGTTTCTGTGCCCAACATCCTTCGCTTTCGGAGCAGATTTGGAGGATGTCTCGAGCGAGGCGCTCATTTCAGCACCCCTAAGGGGAGCCGCCAGGGGTGGTTGCACGGGCTCGTTCGCGGCCATTTTGTGGGGATGTCTCAGGCGGTTTGCTTGTTTCTGTGCCCAACATCCTTCGCTTTCGGAGCAGATTGGAGGATGTCTCAGCGGGGCGCTGGTTTCAGCACCCCTAAGGGGAGCCGCCAGGGGTGTTGCACGGGCTCGTTCGCGGCCATTTTGTGGGGATGTCTCAGGCGGTTTGCTTGTTTCTGGGCCCAACATCCTTCGCTTGGAGAGCAGATTGGAGGATGTCTCAGGCGGGGCGCTGGTTTCAGCACCCCTAAGGGGAGCCGCCAGGGGTGGTTGCACGGGCTCGTTCGCGGCCATTTTGTGGGGATGTCTCAGGCGGTTTGCCTGTTTCTGTGCCCAACATCCTTCGCTTTCGGAGCAGATTTGGAGGATGTCTCGAGCGAGGCGCTCATTTTCACCCCCCAGGTGGGCCAGATTTTGAGGATGCCTCGATCGGTTTGCTTGTTTTGGTGGCCAGGCTCGTGGGCGCAGATTCTTCTCAGGATGCCACAGGAGGCTCCAACAGGCTCCAGGAGGCCCCAGGAGACCACATGAGGTCCCAGGAGGCATCAGGAGGCCACAGAAAGACTCAAGAGGCCACAGGATGTCCCAAGAGGCTCCAGGAGGCCCCAGGAAGCTCCAGAAGGCCTCAGGAAACCACAGGAGGCCCCAGGAGGCAACAGGAAGCGCCAGGAGGCCTCGGAAGGCAACAGGAGGCCCCGAGAGGCCCCAGGAGCAGGAGGCCTCAGAAGGCAACAGGAGTGGCTCCAATCCCATGTGTTTTACGTATGCTCCTATCGATTGGGCCTCACCTGGAGCACGATTCTTTGATGTTCTACGTATGTTTCTATAGATGGTCCTTCTCCTGTGTACACAATCCTAAATGTTTTACTCATGTTCCTATGTATTGGGCCTCTCCTGGGGCACGAGTCCTTGGTGTTTTACGCGTGTTCCTATAGATTGCCCTTCTCCTGTGGCTCTAATCCGCAATGTTTTATGTACGTCTGTTGCTATAGATTGCGCCTCTCCTGGGGCACGAAACCTTCCTAGGAGGTCCCAGGAGGTCCCAAGATGCCAGTAGGTTTCAGGAGGCCCCAGGAGGCCCCAGGCTCATGCACAGAGACGCGCTCGTACTACTGAGGCTCATTCACACTCCAATTCATTCGCAGTTAGATTGATGTCCAGACCGTCACAACTGAAGCCCGTTAATATTCGCAAGCTCTTGCGCCTAGACATTCACGGCGGACAGGTCCATGCGAGTAGATGCACATATGGGGAGCTCCACGCAGTGAATAATTTGGGTGCCTGACATCCCCCGCTTTCGAAACATATTTGGGGGATGTCGCGAGCGAGGCGCCCATTTTCGCCTCCAAGGGGAAGCCACCAGGGGGTATTGCGTTCCTCCGTTCGCGCCAAAATGGCGGGGATGTCTCCAGCGGTTTGCCTGTTTTGGTGCCCGTTAGCCTCCGCTTTCGAAGCAGATTTGGGGGATGTCTCGAGCGAGGCGCTCAGTTTCCCATCCAAGGGGGAGCCGCCAGGGGGTATTGCAGAGGTCCGTTCGCGCCGAAATGGTGGGGATGTCTCGAACGGGTTGCCTGTTTCGGTGCCCGGCACCTTCCGCTTTCGGAACAGTTTCGGAGGATGTCTCAGGCGAAGCGTTGGTTTCAGTACTCCCAAGGGGGGGGACGCCAGGGGGTATATCACAGGTCCGTTCGCGCCCAGATTGGGGGGATGTCTCAGGCGGTTTGCTTGTTTCGGTGCTCAACATCCTGATCTTTCGAAACAGTTTCCGAGGATGTCTCAGGCGAGGCGCTGGTTTCAGTCCTCCCAAAGGGGGCGCCAAGAGGTATATCAGAGGCCCGTTCGCACCCAGATTGGGGTGATGTCTCAGGCGGTTTGCCGGTTTGGGTGCCCAACATCCTTTTCTTTCGGAGCAGTTTCCGAGGATGTTCAGGCGAGGCGCTGGCTTCAGCATTCACAAAGGGGGGGCGCCAGGGGGTATATCACAGGCCCGTTCGCGCCCAGTTGGGGGGATGTCTCAGGTGGTTTGCTTGTTTGGGTGCCCAACATCCTTCTCTTTCGGAGCAGTATCATATCAGCACTCCCAAGTGGGGACGCCAGGGGGTATTGCACGGGCCCGTTCGCGCCCAGATTGGGGTGATGTCTCAGGCGGTTTGCTTGTTTGGATGCTCAACATGCTTCTCTTTCGGAGCAGTTTCCGAGGATGTCTCAGGCGAGGCGCTGGTTTCAGCACTTCCAAGGGGGAGGCGCCAGGGGGTATTGCACGGGCCCGTTCTCGTCTTCACGGATGGATTTTCCTAGCAGGTGTTCATAGGGAAAGGAAGAGAAAGAGAAGGAGGACAAGGAGGAGGAGGAGGAGGAGGAGGAGGACGGAAGGAGGAGGCAACTATTTAAAGTCGTCGTAGTCGTCGGCGTCTCTCTCGGCCTCGTTTTCCACGTGGAGTCGCTGACACTCGGATATTGAAAAGAACAACGTCTTCTACCGAAGTTTGCCATCACTATGAGATGCACATATGGGGATCTCCGCGTCGACTAATTCAATCCGCGGCGCTGGAGCTCCCCACCCATTGCACAGACGTGAGGTCAGAATTTGTTGCCCAGCGTGTCGCGCCGGTGGTCCTGGTCCAACACGCTTCGGCGCGACACTGGCCCATCCTTTGCCACCTTCGCTGGCCGCGCCCCGCCCGCAAAGTCCCGACGTGGCCTTCCAAGGCCCTTGCATCCTTATTGCAAGGGCTCCCACGATGGCGCGAAGTTATTCGCGCTTCGCGGTCCTCGTTCCTTCTCTCCCCCTCCTCCTCGTCCTCCTTTTCTCCCTTTTGGGGGGCGGCGCGAGAGCGCGAAGTTTTTCGCGCTTCGCGGAGCGCGAAGCGCGAAGCTGGGAGCCCTTGCAGCGCCAACGTCCCCAGCCTTGCCCCGCCGCCCGCCCCGCGAAGTCGAGCGACGCGCTATCACCTCGCAGGGCACGGCGTGGCGCCGAGGCCCCCGCCTCGACACGCGAAGCGTGGCGCCGAGGCTGCCGCTTCGACACGCTAAGCAAACGCTCCCGACCTAATCCTGCGCCCAGGATTGCAATTAGGTCGGGCCTGTCCCCCTACAGGGGGCTTTTGGACGAAACATACAACATAGTCGACAAATATTCAAATTATGCACAAAAATATTCAGAAGATAATCGCCTGATTATTTTTTGACTATTTTTGAATGTTCCCCCTGTAGAGGGACAGGCCCGACTTGAGATTACAATCGACCCGCATAGTAAGGATGAGCAGCTTTCCAAGGTTCCCCTTACATCCCTGCCTCTTCGGCCCATCCCTGGCCACTTTCGCTAGCCAGCGCCGTTCGAAAAAGCCCTCATGGCCTTCCAAGGCCCTTGCATCCTTACCGCGCATCTTCATGATATGGGTTGACTGTCTTTTCTATTCGTTCGGGGGACCGCAAGCCAAGGGCGACCAAAAGGCTCCAGAACGTTTACAAGCCTCGAACCCAGACCCCCGACGCCATGATTTCTCAACCACGTCGACCTCCAGATGTCTCGACCCATTCCGCGGGACCAGCTTTCATCCCGAGTCTTTTGGCGGTCCGGGGCCCCGTGACGCCCGGTGAGGGCCCCCGGAGGCGGAGGATGGCAACAACAACCTCCGGTCGTTTTTTTTTTGTCACGACGCGAGGGGGCTTGGGAACCACTGATCCGCCTCCCTCCGAAGGAGGCCGGCCAGATCCTGCGCTGCCTCAGTGGGGGTTGCGGGAAGCCGGGCGATATCAGCATCGAGCACGAAGGACAGCCGACTCTTCCTCCCCAGCCATCCTCCCCTTCATTCTCGTCCTTCTCCTCCTCCCCCTCCTCGGTGTTGTCCTCCTTCTTATCATTTTCCTGCTCCTCCTCCTCTTCGCCTCTTCCTCCTCATCCTCCTCCTTCTCCTCCTCCTCCTCATGTTCATCATCCTCCTTTTGTTTTCTCCTCTTCCTCCTCATCCTCCTCCTTTTTCTGTTCCTCCTTTTCCTCCTCCTGCTCCTCCTCCCCGTGGGTGGCGAAGCCGTTCTGGCCCAGGTGTTTGGGCTTGCGTTCACCAACGATTCAGAACGGTTGGGCGAACGCGGGCTAATTTTTGGCTCGGTCTCCCTTTCCCTAGACCACCGCACGGCGGTGCCATGGCAGGTGGCAACTGGTCGTGGAAGTCGCATGAAGGGTCGCGATGTGACCCAGCAGGAGGTGAGAACTGGAAGTGCGCCCACCCCGACTGTGGCTGTGGCAAGAACCGCAGCTGGTTCACCTGGTGCAAGCACTGCCGCCGCCCTAGGTATGAAGTCGTCGACGGCAAGCTTGGCGACCACTCTGGCGAGGCGGGCGGTGGCAGGAATAACTGGCAGCGTGGAGGAGGTGGCGGGAAGGCGCTCGCGCTCCTGGGGGGCGCCGGCATGCCGCCCGACATCACGATCGGAAAGATCGACGCGCTGCTGGCCATGGCCACCAAGTTCGGTGACGAGGGCGCGAAGTCCCAATATCAAGTTTGGAGGAAGCAGAAGCTGGACGCTACCAAGGTGCTTCTGGATAAGCCCTTGGGGAGACAGGCCAACGAGGCGCTCCAGCAGGTCCGCATTTTGGAGAAGAGACTCAGCCGCGAGCTCGACAACCTGGAGAAGGCCAAGGAGTGGCTCGCCGACTGCACCACGACGGCTGCCGACGCCCAGGCCGAGCTCGAGGTCCAAGACAAGCTGCGCAAGGACTTGGTCTCTCGGCTGCACAAGGCGGTCATCCAGCCGTCGCCTGTCGCTGCTCCTCTCGTGCGTGGTGCCATCAGTATTCGCGACGTGCTGGAGGGCAAGCCCGATGCCATCGTGCTCACCGTCGACGAAGAGCTCCTCGCCCTGGACGACACGGACTACGAGTTGTTGGCCTCCGACCGCGAGGAGTTCCAGAAGCGTCGCGCGGAGCCCCAGCAGGGTCTTGCCACACTCACCAAAGAGTTGTTCTCCAGCATGGTTGCCTCGACCGACGAGATTCGAGCCGACCGCGCGGACTACGTCAAGAGGATCACCGCCAAGAAGCGCAAGGTCGGAGACGCGGGTGAAGCAGCCCCTGCGGCAGCCCCAGGGTCCCCGGCACGCGAACCAGCTGACGGGGATGATGGACCAGGTCTTCAGAAGGATGGGAACGGTGCTGCAGATCGAGGTCGCACAAACCCTGACCCCGTTCATGGATTCATGAGCCTGAGCCCACCGCGCGGACGTTCGTGAGAGGGCTCGTGCCGCACTGGCGACACCTCCTGCGGCCGCGGCTTCAGCCTGAATCCCCCATCGCTCCCCAGCACGGCCTGTGTAGGGCCTGAGGCGGCGAGGGGGGCTAGTGCCAACGCTAACTATTGATGGGAGATTTCTCTCCCGTTATTTCAAGGCTTGTTCGCCTGCCCGCCTCCAAGGAGCCCTGCTTGGATTGCTGCGCAGGTCTCAGGGTCCCAGCTCGCTCGGACAGTTTTGAACTTTGTTTAGAGACCGCAAATTGCACTGGCTGGGGTAGCGCGAAGATCTGGTTATCCAGAACTAGCGCGCACGTAGTTTTGATTCGAGAAACTCACCTGGTCAGCGACGTCCAGGTGAGTGAGGCCTCCCAGTGGGCCGCCCGTTCTGGTTGGACATATCGCTTTCTGCCGGCTTCCAGGGGAGATGGCCAGGGCCCCTCTGGCGGCGTTGCTAACTTCAGAGATCAGGAGGGCCTTTCGGAGAAGAACCTCGACATTCTCTCATCTGTCGGGGCGTTACTTTCGTCGCACCTGGGTTCTTTCATTCTCGGTGCTGACTCTCAGATGGAGCCCGATGAACTGGCGGCGTCGGAACTAGTCAGCATCCTGCCTGCTAACATAGTGCACCCAGACGCCGATGCTGCCTGCGCTGGCACTTCTACGCAAGGAGTGCGCAAGCCCGATTATGTTCTCGTCTCTTTCGGCCTGTCCAAGGCCATCAAGTGCACCGAGCTCTGCCTGGAGGCGGCGACGAAGCCGCACAAGCCTTTTCGCGTTTCGCTCTTTCCGCAGATTGCTCGATGGCAGGCCTTGGGATTTGCGAGGCCACCGCCGATCCCTGTCGAGTGTGCAATCGGCCCCGCGCCCGAGCCTCCGCGCTGGGACGAGGAGCTTGATTGCGCACGATATGATCTTGGGCTTGTTAGGAGTGGGGCCGCCATGGGGCTCCACTCAGAAGCACTTGAACCGTCTCTATCGCAGCTGGGCTGAAAAAGCGGAGTTTGAGCTGGTGGCCGACCGCCAATGTTCCTCGCCTGTTTTGGGTGCCAGGGGCCGTCTTCCCAGGCTGGCTTGGAAATCCGCGCTCGATATAGACAACGGGGTGGTTCGACAACCAGGCCTACGTTGTCAGGTGTTCGGAGGGTACCTTCCGCATCTTTCTCGGCGAGGCTTGCAGGCAGCGTCGGTTGGGGCGAGGATCAGCATTGCACGCGGCGCACTTCTCATTGGGCCCGCACGACATCATCAGCAAGAACCTCGGTGAGTTTGCTGACCTCCACGGCCAGGCCCGTCTGTCTGTCCAAAGGTGCATTGGATCTCTTCTTCCCTCGTGCAGCCGAGGCGCCCTTGCTGCGGGGCCTCCTGGGGCTTATCAGGATCCGCTGTTCGCTCGGGGCACGGACCTGCTGGGGCAGGTTTCCGTTTTCTGGGAGCTTTCTCTGGTGGGGAGAGGGCGGCGGCGGATGAGAGTTGGAGGGCTTGGCTCCTGGAGGGTGTTTCGTCGGGGGCCCGCAAGGTCCAATGGTGGACGCGTGGTGTTGGACCTTGGAAACCCGCCGCCACCCTCTCTGCCAGTGGCATTGTGCTCTCTGATCCTCACTCGCTCCTGCGCAGTCTGAGGCGCACCGTTTCAGCCGACCTTGGAGGGTGGAAGGAGCCCCCGCTGCGGTTTTACCCCTCGCCTCCACGTGCGCCCGATTTAGTCTCGAAGTTCAGGTGTTCTGAGTCGCCGGCCCCTGGGCCCTCTGCTGAGGCCCATCTGGGCCCGCCCCCGTCTGAGTCTCTAGACGCGCTTCGGATAGCTTCTAGGTCTTGTCCCAGGGGTGCGGCTGTCAGCGCGGATGGATCCCACATGCGCCATTCTGCCGCGATGTCCGACGGGGCCCTCGTCGTTCTCATGTCCATGTACAGTGCCATGGAAGCTGCGTCTGTCGCCCCTCACCATGTTCGCTCCCTCGTGCTCTCCCTTCTTCCGAAGCAGGTAGGAGGATGGCGATCTATCGGTTTATTCTCGTCAGTTTACCGTTTGCGTGACCGTCTTCGTCGGCCTTGCGCTGCGGCGTGGGGGGACGATCTGGCACGTCCATGCCTCGCGGCAGGTGCGTTTACAGGCGCTGCAGATGTTGCGTGGCGTCAATCGGTTAAGCCAGAGTTCGCCACTGGCTCTCGTGGGCCAGGAGTTGCTTGGTTGTTTTGTGGGACCTTTATAAGTTCTACGAGTTTGTTGATCTAGACCAGCTGCAGCGGAGATGCGATATGCCGGCCTTGCCCTCTCGGATCTCTACGCTTACTACCACTATGTGCCGATGAACGAGGTGGCTCAGTATAGGTGGGATGATCGAAAGGGGCCTTACTTCGCCTGCAACGGGGTGGTGGCTGGGGATTCGTTTGCTACTTTGTTCGTTCGCGCCTGTATTTCTACCCAGCATCGGCCTCCTCGCCCCCTCGGTCACACACTCCCTCGATATATATATATATATACATATTGACGATCGCGGCCTGCAGCCCATTAGCAGCGAGCGCTCTTTGGCCGCTGACATCCTCCATGGCGCCGCCCAGCTTCGCGCCGTGCTCACCGATGATATGAAGTGTGTTGTCTCGATTGACAAAGCCTTTGTTGTTTGCTCCTCTCAGACTGTTGGGTCCAAAGCCCGCGATCTTTTAGAAGGTTTAGGTGGGTCCACTCCTGGTACGAGCACGGCTGCGAACCTCGGCGTGGACGACGCGGCAGGACGGCCTCGCAGACAGGCGGACCGCGGCGTCAAGGCTAGGCTGCGCCTCAAGTCTCGTCTCGAAGTTGAAGCGTATCAGGGCCGTCCTGGGACAGACATTCTAAGCCGTTTTTTCTTGCTGGGCCCCTTGCAGGGGCCACGTATGCTTGTGAGATCATGGAGTTTCTGATGACGAACTCGCTGGTTTTCGCCGTGGTCTTGGTCGTGTTTTGAAGCCCTCAGCCGCGATGCGTAGTCTTACTTCCCTCATCTTGGAGGGCGACCCGTGCTGGCATGCTGCTGTCCTTCCAGTTATTCGTTTTTTTTTCCAAGGAGGCGTGGGCTAATCAAGATAGAATATTCAAGCACCCTCTCCCCTTCCAAGCCCTTCGATCCGCTTGGGAATCGGTTTTCCAGGCGCCCGCGGTCGGTGATCAGAATGGGGCCCCGCCCACTTCGAGGTCAGTTAGGGGCCCCATCGGGGCAATGCGACTTTTCTGGAAAGGAGTGGGTGGTCCATGAAGTCCTTTACCGAGCTTGTCAACGATTTCGGAGAGGTATTGGGTTTTACTGCGTTTGCTCCGGCCCTCGTCAAAAGAGCCCTGCGGGGCGGAGTTTTGCGTCAGTTGCAGCGCGACTGAGGTCGCTCCTTAGGTCTCGGCGACAGGCTCTCTTACGACGCGGCGCAGGCAGCTCCGGTCTCTCCTAAGTTCACTGCCCTGGAGAAGGGCTGCATTCGAGGCATGTGCTGCGGTGCTACATGGTCATGCGATCATGTTATTTCCTGTGGGTATCAGCTTGCCTCCAATGTGTGCCCGTTGTGTCGTTC